GCTGCGATTCTGCTTTTGGTTCAAGGTCACGACTATCTAGTTTCATGTGTATGATGCTGCTTGGTTTCTGAAGTTCGATATCGCTCACTTCCCTTGCAATTTGGTATCAGAGTTGTGGTACAGTGTGCTAATCTAGCGCTTGTCTTCTGCCTATACGGTACATGCATGCGGTCTGCTAGGCGAACGACTGTATTTAGTGTGTAGTGAGGAGGGCAAAGGCAAGCAGGGCGACCCAGGAGGTGAGGGGTATCGCCGGGAAGGCTACGTGGTGAATGTTGGGTGTTTGCAGTGTGATGAGAACTATCTGATGTGCGATTGATGCTGAGGTGGAACGGCGGTGTAATGCTGGTTGTGCCGAAGCAGCGATTGGTCATCATAGTCGGCATCAGGTCATCTGGTGAGGATATCTGTGGTTGGGGGCAGCTATTTTGAGGTACGTTGCACCTAACCTTATCTACCCTTGCCGACACTTTTTACCGTGAGGATGTGTGTTTTGTCTTGAAAGTCCTCTCATGTGAGGAGTCGAGTGCGCTCAACCTTGAGAGTCGACATTGTTCACGTGGAGCATCTGGAAGGAGATGGCGGAGCTATCTGAAGGGCCCTGGATGAAGCACTGGGTCTTGGTCACCATGCCAACCCACCGTGAGTAGAGCATGCATGCTTTGCCGCTTTGTCTTTTGTTTGCTTGCTGCACTGATAGATGGGTTATGAGGGGCAGGCCAGCCCTACAGGGGAGACGAGAACCGGGTGTCTATAAATAAACACCGGCGGGGTACCTTCCATTGGCTGTGATCGTCGTCCTGTCTGCAACGTTAAAGAATTCCTGAGGACTGCGGGGGTTGTCCTTAAACGACTCCTGATCAGTCAATCAGTCGGTGTAAGGCTCGTTGCACGTGAGGATAAACAATGTGCAGGGCTGGCCAGCTCAGCATACACTCGGGGCACAGGGGCGGGGTGTGTGCACACCTTTGGACACGAACACTGTTCTGGATTGCTCAGGGACGTTGGCGTCAAGTGACCATCAGAGGAACTGAGGGAGGGTTAGATTTCAGGTGATAAGTTCGTGTTTAATTCCACTTTACAAATATCCACATAGACAATCCTATTTTTATTTTTGATTAGTTAGATGGACTGCCATTGACATCTGATAGACAACATTAGGTAGATCTGCCCTCTGTCCGGGAACTAATTAAGTAAAGATAGTTTCGTTTGTAGGAATCTGGACTTACCTATTGACCCGAATGTGTAGACTCTGAAATAGCCACCAATTAAAGTGGTCTGTGCATTGAGCTGTGGTAGGCATCGTGTGTGACCTAGTGCAGCTTATGAGCGACAGGGAGGAAACTAGAGAGGACGACAGGATCCTGCGATCAGCAAGGCGCCCAATAGCCCACTTGGCATTAGGACCAGAGGGCGACTGATTCCTGTTCCGCCAGCAGAGAGAGAGGCAACAGCAGCAGAGAAGAGCTGGGGCCGCAGAGGCAAGCAGGGCATTCGCTAGCGAGGCAGCTACTTCAGCAGCCATGGCAACTGCCGCGCAGAAGAGCTCTCAGGCTAGTAGTTCAGGGACTGCAGGGTCAACGGTCGCGTATACCCTGAGTCAGTCCACTGGTGTCATGGCAAGCCAGCCGTTAGTTCTGACTCCCGAAGAGATCGCCACACGACAAGTAGATGCTCAGGAGGCACAACTATAGAAGGCTTTAGGGGAGATAAAGGCAGAGAAAGAGAGAATGATTAGGAGAAGAGCAAGGATGCAGCGGAGACAAGCGGACATTAGTGAGTTAGAGGAGATGGACCTGACGAATGTGGATGATGATATGAGGACCCTGAGCATGGTCTTGCTAGATGTGGTAGAAATGCAGGATCACCAAATGGCGCTCTTACAGGACATCCAGCAGAGCCTGGCCGTGCTGGTTGGGCGAGCTCAGGCGACACCATCACCATTAGGGCCCGGTGCCTGGCCCATGGTACAACCTCCTCCTTCTATCCCACTGATGACTGGGGTATCCCCATACATAGCTCCAGCATCGGTACAGGCCGCTTCCCTAGGGGTGTTGGCAGGCACTTACCTGCTTTCCACTTTGTAGTTCAGGCAGCAGAGCACGTGTCTTGCAGCTTATCAACAACCACATTTAACTAGCAGACATGCAGAGTTGCAAATAGTGTAAAGCAGGCACAAGACTAAAGAAACAAAGATTTTTATTTTGAAAAAGGTATGATTAACTTTGAACTTTGAACTTTGGATTTAGTAATTCAAGTTCATAACTTCATATATAACTTGAAAGTTGGAACTTTGCAGTTCAATTCAGAACATCAGAGTCTGGCAGCATTGTTAGTGTTCTCTCTCTCTCTCTCTCTCTCTCTCTCTCTCTCTCTCTCTCTCTCTCTCTCTCTCCCCAATGGGCAGCAACAACGAGCAGGACGTAGAAACAACCACTTTGAAATTGCTCGGGCCTGTGTGGAACCCACCACCCCAAAAACCTGCAGTGTCTTTTGTCTGGACCTCTAGGCCCTGTCTGGTGGGGTGAAATGATACTGAAAAATCACCCCGTTATTTTTCGAGGGGCGGCCAGGACCCGATTAACATCCTGGGCCGCCCATTTTCTTTTTTTTGCCGTGGGGGCCTCCATCCGGACACAAGGACCCGACACCGGACACTAGACATGTTGTTCCGGACTGTTTGGAACCCGGTCCGGACGTCCGGACGGTTACCATGCTCCCGACTGGAAGGCGAAGGGTCGCATCATGTTCGTCGAAAACAATGGTTCTACCATCAAATTAGATGACGATTTCGAGGAGGGAGTAGGTGCAGAGGCGGGCAGCGTAGAGGCTTCAAGGGGTGGAGCAGTCGCTGCCTCAGTGCAAAAAGGCAAGGCGGCCGGTTGACACCGTGGAGGCTCCCGGTCTAGGAGTCAAGTTGACCCCAATGCTCCCCCTTGGGAGAAACCGGGTCTCACTGAGGACGTGTGGAGGGATCGGTACACTCGACAGACTTGTATCCGTTGTGGCCAATATGGCCATAATCACTTCAAGTGCCGAAATAAGAAGGTGACCTAAAAGATCCCGCCGACAATGGGGCAGGCGTTGGGATCCTCCGCTTCCATAGGTAGCAATGTTGCCAGCAGTTCTGGCACTGCTCCAGGAAACACGTCGGGCTAGTAGGAATAGTGGTTGTTCGTGCTAGGGTTGAGGTGGTGGACACACCCTCACCATCTCAACAGATGGCCCAAGCTACTGACTTCGTTGTCGTCCTGCAAACACATTGTGACCCGGCGATCCTCTGTTCGCTGAATGTGTTCGAGTCCTTAGAGGAGCTAGAGGAGGAGTGGTATAGATCGGACCCGCTAGCTTCTTAGACGGCCATGGCCAAAGGCCGTAAGCGTGAGTTATTCGTCAGCGAGATAGTCGTCAGCGGCCGCAAGGTCGGGGCCTATTATGACACTTGCTCGACACGGAACTTTATCAGTCGCGCGCGCGTTGAGAGGCTGCGCTTACAAGGGCAAGTGCAACGCCTGAGGCGACCTGTGGAGTCGACCTGTGCCAACAAACAACGTATGGTAGTCAATGACTACCTCAAAGACATTGAGTGTTGTTTCCCTTACGCGGGAGGGGAACTGAGACATCGAGTCTCGTTCTTAGTCAGCGATGATCTCCCTATGGATATCTTGTTAGATATGTACTACCTCTCAGTTGCACAACCCCAGTTTGACTTGGACAGAAAAGTGGTCAAACACACTTTGCCCAGAGGGGGGACCGACAGATTCTGTAAGTTTAGGGCTAGTAGTCTGATAGAGTCCTACGGGTGTTGTCGCAGGGCGCGGTGTCCCGACCCTCCGCTGTGTACCAAGTGTCTGCTCACGTACCACCGCTACGTACCAGGCGTCCGCTCATATACCTTTGTTGTGGACCGTCGGAAGGGCTTCACGGCTTTCCAGACTTGCAGAGGTGTTGGTCCAATCAACGCACTCACAGGCAAAAGGGTGCGTGCACCGCTGGACTTTCCTTTGGTCCACGCAGGCTCAGCGCCCTGCTATACAACGGAGCCTGAGGTCGTGGTAGCCGTCGGGCTTGCCCAGGGATGCGGAGGAAAAAGGACCGGCGCGGTCTTTTCTACTGTGCGCCGAGTTCCCCCTAGTCGAGTTATGGGATGAATAGAGAGGGCGGTCGTGATTGGAGTAAGAAAAAAAAAAGAAAAAAAAAAAGAAAAGAAAAAAAAAAAAATAGACAAGAGGATCGCGTGTCGGATCTGCACCTCGATTTAATTAGTCGTTTTTTTAATTTACTCATCTGGGGCTAACCGGTGGTCAGAAATGGCAATGCCGCTATATCTTCTTCTTTCTCACCCCTACCCTTTCTGTCATCCTGCGGGGAAACGAGCGGTTCATTTTCAAACGACAATTGTGAGTGAGCGGCCTAGATCAGCCTGACCTTTCACGCTTCGGCTACCAAAAATATGAATTGCCGAGTACCGCGTCGGGGGTCCTCAAATAGGAGCACCCGCGGCCCCGTTGGTAGGAAGCTCATCACCTCCCGTGGAAAGTCATAAGCCCCCTCCTTGCCATCGGACACGGGTACTTGTGAGGGGTAGCCCGTTGACATCTTTTGAAAAGAGGGGCGCGTCTGCCCGTATCCCGTTATGGGACCACAACAACGAACCTGTAGTCGGTTCATATCGAAAATGAAGAGACTAGCGATTGATAGCAGAGTGGGCAGCCTGCGTCATGACCGTTGAGGTTCGACTTCTCACTTTCTCCCCTTTAATTTATTTTATCCTATTTTATTATTTTTTGAATCTTATATATCGCTGAAATACTGGATTTTGAAATTCACCTGAGTACTTTGTTCGGGGCACGGGCTGCGACGACCCTATAAAGAGTGGGGGAGGCGAGCCTTAGGCTACTGGGACATGGGCAGGCTCGTTACGCCAAGTACTGATGGACAGAAGTGAGGGGGCCGAGCGGTAGAGTGAGCGTGAGGCAGTCTATCTACGTGCGCGGGTGCTGAGTGCTGAATCCGAGCTGTTTTGGAAGCCGGTAGCCTGGCGATTTGCGCTGTAGGAGGGCTCGACTATGGTGCGCAACAGCGGTCTATATGGGTACAGGCCAAAGTACCTCCAGTTCCTCTGGAGGTGGGAGCGAATGGCGGGAGAAGGCCCGATGGTGACCGCCGTCCTGGACTACAACCGCTGCAATCAGGAGGTCAGGCTAAAAATAAATGTGGAAGGAGGGAAAGAGGAAGTAATGAGAGCGGATCAGGGATTGCAAGCGGCCATCACGGAGGCAAAGGACCGTGCCGAGAGAAGGTGCAGGCGGGATGGAGTCACCGACGAAATCAAGGTGACCGTCTTGTACCTGGAGACAGAGACCTCTACGGATACCACGAAGAGGGAGCAACAACACTTGGACCACGATACGGAGGCCGAGAGTGACGCAAGCGACTTGGAGGCCACGACCCAGTCCTGGCGCGGTCTGGACCAGTGGCGACGGGACCACCCTCCGGCTGGATCAGTGGAGGACGACCCGGAGGCTAGTTCACAAAGACAGAGGAACCGGGACCGATAGGCGAAGAAGTCAGGGGTCAACACGTAGGAGAGGGACATCACAGAGAAACAAGAGACGCGAGCGGCTACGAGAGGGAGGGACACGATGGTATGGTGACGTGAAAGAGGAGAGAGCAGAAGTCAGACGAGAGAAGGGAGGGGCGTATAATCTTTCTCCATTACTCGTTGAAGTCACCTACGTGAGTAGTACAGTGCGCTGAGAAGGGTTTTCCCTATGACATCGTCACTCGACACCACTTTCCCTTCTCTGAGCAGGAGGCTCGACACTCGCGTCTAGACTAGCTAGTACGTGGCCAGCGGGATGTTGTGTTGAGTTCTTGCACCAGCGGGGAAGTTCGCTACGGCGGAGGGACCATGTCCGCTAGGCAATTACATGTGTACGGGTCAACACCAAAGCGGGCGAGCAATTGAGAATGCGATGGGCAGAGCAAAAACAGAGATGAGTCTGCGCGAGAGTGGCATGAACGTGTAAGAGGCTTGAAGGATTGCGGGTTATGGCTGAAGGCTATCATCGACTCTAGCTTTCCCTTTTTGGAAAAAGGACTAGTCTACGAGTGCGCAGAGGTGTACGAAGCCCGAGCGACAGTGACTAAGAGAAGAGAAGAGGGCGAGGCGTGAGTTTGCTTATCATGGTTGACGTCAACCGTGTTCTTCGTTTTCCACCTCCGCTTGGATAGCTGCCATCTTCTCCTCCTGTTCCTTCGTCCATTTCTTCAACTCCATCTGCTTCTTCTTTGCCTCTTGCTCCTCCAGCTGGGCCAGCATCTTGGCCTGCTTGATCAACTCTCTCTTCTCCATTCTCTTCTTCCTCTCTCGCAGAATGGCAGCAGCTCTCTTGCTCCTTGCTGTAAGGGGTGGTGCTAGTTCCAGACTTGAGGGCCACCATGGTGATGGTGCACAATCAACAACAATTTCGCCCCTCAACACGTAGACCGAACAGGTTAACTTGTTTCTAGGGGGCTTGTATTCTCTACTCGGGTTGGACTCACAACTCTACAGTCACACCCACGGAGTCCTATAGACTTGGACAAAAGTGAAGGGAAGATATGACTGACTGACACTAACAGACTTGACGTCAGCAGATACCAAGATACCAAGGTGAAGGTGCACACCCACGTGGTAAGGGATAGGCCAGGGCTTGGAAGGATGGTACTGGTAATCTTCTCGCTCCAGCTGGGTCGACACTCTGGTCAACGGTCTTGGTCAACTGGCCGGTCAATGCTCCTGGTCAATGCCCTGATCAATGCCCTGATCAACTTTGGTCAACGCCTGGTCAACGCCCTTGGTCAACCCTTGGTCAACTCCCCTGGTCAACCTTTCAACCTCCCGGCTATGGTGGACCTTCTTCTTCGTCAAAACCTTCGTCGTCTTCACCTCGGCTATGGCTGACTTTATCTCCCTTCTTCATCACTTTCTTCTTCCTTTTCTCTATGTCTATCTCTTCTTCTTGCTGGTCGTCTTCTTCCCCGAGCCTGGCAGCTATGGCTGCCGCCCCCCCTTTTCTCTCTTCCTCGCTCTCTCTCTCGCTGTCTCTCTCTCTCTGCCGAGGTCCCGCTATGGCGGCATCTTCCTTCTTCTCCACTTGCTGTAGCTTCGCCGGCGTGGACAACGGGTACCTGCTCCGATACCAATGAAATCAGACTCGGCTCCGGACTTGCTCACAACATGCATACATGAGAACCGATGGCAAACCAAACTCGTAAACTCAGAATCAACAACAAATTCGCTCTTAAACTCTGTTCAGAACAACTGTACAACTTGCGGCTATGGCCGCCGAACACTGTCTCTACCACCAGCCTAACTCTCCCTCACTCTCACATGCATGCACGTACGAGGATCACCCTGAATGTCCACGCTGCACAGACACACACACTCCGTACACCCTCTCTGCACCAACAGCTGGGCGGCTATGGCCTCCGTCGTCTTCCTCCTCCTAGCTATGGCCGCCGGTGTCTCTCTCTCGCTGGTTCACTATGTCCGCTGTCTTCTTCACAGCCCACTTCTTCTCTGGGAACCTGCAGTCCACGAACAAGATACCAAGGCAGCTGCCTGTTTATTTATACTTCTTCAGAGGTACCCGCGCCCTGCCACAAAACGTGTGGGCCTGGGGCAAAACATGTGAGGCCCGGGTCTGGAAGTTTCCAAACCACGTGGGCCTGGTATGCTCAAGCCGCGTGGAACTCCCTGGACCAAGACGTGTACAGCAGCTGGGTCCCAAAACGCGTATTCTGGAATCTTCTCCAGAACGCGTGGGCCTCCCTGTTTCCCCACGTGCAGCCTCTACCATTGGTACCTGCTGACTGGACTGCCTACAGGGACCTACTACCTTCTGGAACCCACGGACTTACAGACAGACTCTAGGCCCTCAGTAGACTCAGGCAGAGACTTCTAGAACAGACTGTTTAGGACTACTGGTAACAGAGTCAACTTCTAACCTACAGACCTAGGGAGGGCCTATGTACAGGGTACAGGGTAGCTCTAGGGATCGAATCTCACTCAGCACACAGGGTCGATGTACAGGGTTAGGGCACAGGTCTGAGGATCGAATCTCTGTGTCTGCAATGTCGGGTCAACTGGGTGAAACCGTTTCAGCAGAAGCAGAATCTGCCTAACTTTGCCAAATACCCAGCTAACCCCATGGATCCTTCCTCTCTCCCCCGGAGGGACTTGCGCATCCCTGATAGGCTATGGCAAAAGAGGAAGGATGCTGGTATTTGCCTCAGGTGTGTAGGGCAGCACTTTGTGAAGGACTGCCCTTCCTGGAGCAATCACTACGCTGAGCCAGATTCCTTCGCTGATCCAACTGAATTGTCTGTGTATCACCTGTGTTTGAGGAAGAATTCACTAGTTCCAGGCTGATTCAATTTCTCAACATCGCTGATGGACAGACTGTTAATTGGACTGAAATTCATCTTCTTTTCAAGATGAATCAGCCCCAATTTGCTTTCAGTCTGACAGGAATTCTACTGGGAGCTCACCTTGGATCCTTGTCTGTGTATGCTGTGCGTTGGCCTCGTTGTCTACACCCGTTTTGTGAACTGACAATGACCTGCACGCATTGCTTGGATGACCTATATTGAGAGAAAGATTCTCTCACACAGTCCTAATTACTGCTCTCCTCAAATAGAAGTCAGATCTTCTGTTCTTCCCTGTGGTTACTCACGGGTATTGACAGTGTTCTGAATGCTGACGGTTGAGCTGCAAATTTCTTTTATACCCTGGGATTTGTCCCAGGATTCAACAGGATTTAACAACGATCTGTTTGTGACTAAACCCCTTATTCGGATAGACCTGCCCTACACCTGATTTTGTCGTTCGAAACATATTACTGAATATGATGGCTTGGCTTTAGATAGGCTCAACCCATACACAGATCTAGTCAGATCCTACCCTATTTCAGGGAAGAATCTGCGTATCGCGCTTGCAGATACACAGATCAGCAGTTACAGAGTCTAACTGATATTCAGTCCAAAGTTCTCCAAACAGAAATTAATCAGATTTCGCGAGTCAATGGGTTACAGCGAAGTTGATGGCTAACACTCTGAGATTTTCAGATCATCTAATTCTCCACAACTATGGATGCTTAATGATCCTGCAGCCAGTACTTCTCCGACCGTTTTGGTTTGTAGTTGGTTAAGTAGCTCGTCAGCCCTCGCTCCCCGGGAGGGTTAGAATGCAATAAACTGCAGATCCCCAACGGGCTATATAACCAGCTCTACCGGGCTTGATCCCTTGACCTGTCCCTTACTGGGACCCCTCTTCTAACTAGTTTAGTTTTGTAGTTTTCTCCAGTTTGAGCTCTCCGGGGCTCGGTCAATGTACCTATCACATGCTGATGCACCTCTCTTTAGGTGTCCTAGATCACTAGGTGAAACGGTTTTTCACCTTTGCAGTAACAGATACAGATCCCAGGGCTCGATCCCTAGACCTCGCCTTACCCGTGTACAGTATCAAGTCGACCTCTGTGTGTGTTTGAACCCGTGATCTGTGTTTTGGTAGATGACTATTGCTTGTCGTAGGTCTATGTAGCAGTAGGGGTTCGATCTGTAGATCTGTCGGCTAGGGGTCATAGTTGTGTAGAGGCCGTAGCTGCAGCAACTCTGAAAGGTCAAGGTCGTAGCTGCTACAGTCCTGAAAGGTCAAGGTCGTAGCTGATACACACAGCAGACCAGAGGCAGGTGGGCAAGTGGTGAGTCCAACTTCGCCTAGTCAGCGGTACCCAGTCCCAGTCTCACTTTGTACGGACAGCAAGTGCCATGAGGGACTGTGTGCACCATGGGCCCGGTGGAAAAGAGCAGACCAGCGATTTACAGAAGTATAAATCAAGAGACAGCATCCAGCGATTCATTCATTCTTGCGTGAGCCATGCGGAAGCGCTGCCCAGGCGTCTTGTGCTGGTCTGCAGAAGCCTGAGGTTGAAGTGGGCTGAAGAGAGAGATACTTCGTCCATAGCTAGTAGCAGTAGAGCGGCCATAGCCTCTGTGGCTTAGAGGTAGAGTTCAGTGTGTGTGTGTATTCTTTGTACGGAGTTGTGAGCGTGGGATATCCAGGGTGATCCAGAGACAAGTGTGTGCGAGCAGTGTGTGGACAAAGGATGTGCGAGCGCTCAGGCGCCATAGCCAGTTGGGAAGCGAGTTGTAACTAAACTGTGTTTTCGACTTCAGTGTCTCTGAGCTTTGTGTGGGCGCACAGCGCCAGCGTGGATTGCCACCTGTTTGCATGTATGTGGAGTGAAGAAGAAAGCGAGTCTGATTGCACTAGGCCTTCTTCTTTCATCTTTTTCTGCTTGCTTTTGGGTAGACCCGTAGGTCTTAGTTTGCTGCCTGTCTTAGGTCGAGGTGGAGGTCAAAACCTAGAAATGTTTAGCTGGGGTGGGAGATTGGGTTCTTTTTGGTTCTCTTTTCACGAGTCTATGGGAGATCGCGTTTTGAAGTGTGCTGCGCTTTTCCTTCTGCCGCACAGGGCTTCCTCATGAAGACACAACTGAGGGCCATAGCGGGGGCCGAGCAGCTTGATTAGCGGCAGTGCTGGGCATCAGGCCCTAGGAGCTCAGACACCTCCTCTCCTGTGTGCTGTTGGGGTTATGCAGCTGCCACGAAACAGCCTCTTCTGTTGGTCTTCTTCGATGTGGTAGCCCTCCACCTTCATCGAGTTGCTGTTCTTCTTCGTCATCCTTGGGAGCTGCACTCCCCTGCTAAGTGGACACTTCATCTGAAGTGGGCTTCGTGAGTGATGCAGAGAGGGGTGTCGGATTTAGGAGGGTGTGTTGCGATTGGCAGGCTTGATAGGTTGGGTGCTTCCAAGCACCATAGCGAGAGCTTGAGGAAGAGGGAAGGGGAAGAAGACTCCCGGATACTTCAATGAAGCTTTGTAAATAATTGGACCGTGGGTGTTGATAACGTGGTTGGGATTCTTGGAAAACAGTGTGGTTCATTGAACTGGAGAGAACAGGGTTAATTAGAATTGAATTCATTTCAATTCTACTTTCGGTATTTGTGTGCTTCTGCTGTGTATCCTCATCCATCAGGATTGTTGGTGTGGATTGCTCTCTCGAAGTCTACTTGTCATTGCGCTTGTGTATGGGAAGATGTGAATGCCATGCTGGATTCGTCTCAATCAGGCACACAACATTTCGATTCCTTGTTGAGAGTACCCTTTTCTGCTGGAGGCCTTGGAGTTGTTAGTGTTGATGTAGCTTCTCCCAAGTATTTAGTTTGGGATTGCCTGGTTGTCCTCCTCATTGTGGCAACTGTCCAATTGAGTCCATGCTCTTCAAAAAACGTTCTGAATAGCCCGGACCTGATTGGCTCCTCCCGTGGCCAGTTTCTGAAGTGACGTGGTTCACACATTTTTGCCTATTTCCTGGCGTGCCTGGACCAAT